GGGGGGGTCTTGCACAATCCCAACGCCGCCAATTCGGCCAAGGGCTCCAAGCTGTGCAAAATTCTGCATCCCTCGTGCCATTCCAGCCTGGAAAGGTGACACACAGGAACCAGTCTGTGCCTTCTGCGCCCGGCCCTGAGCACCCCAAACCACTGCCCCAGCTCTCCTGGCTGGGCCTGGCACTGTCTGGCCAATCCTGGCACTGCCCAACTGGTTCTGGCACTGCCTGGCCGGTTCTGGCACTGTCCATCCAGTTCTGGCACTGTCTGGCTGGTTCTGGCACTGCCTGGCCGGTTCTGGCACTGCCCAGCCCATTCTGGCACTGCCCGGCCGGTTCTGGCACTGCCCAGCCCATTCTGGCACTGCCTGACCGGTTCTGGCACTGCCCAGTTGGTTCTGGCACTGCCCAGCCCATTCTGGCACTGTCTGGCCGGTTCTGGCACTGCCCGGCCCATTCTGGCACCGGCACAACCGATCCTCGCCCGCGGCCCGCAGGAAAAAGCCACCCTCACCTGCTGCGGGCACCGAGCCCTCGCCCAGCCCTGCCGAAGGATGTTGTGGAAACTGAAGGAGCAGGGATGGCGATGCCAGGAGGGATTCTGCGCGTCCCCCAAGGCACAGCCCCGCGCCCGGGGCTCTGCGCCCGGAGCCCCCCAGAGCCCAGCCGGGTGCCGAGGGCAGCAGAGCCCTTCCCGACCTTTTCCCGTCCGGCAATTCCCCGCTGCCGTCCCCAGCCCCGCGTCCCCGCGTCCCCAGCTCTATGATGTGATCTCCAGAACTCGCCGTGCTGCCTTTGCACAACTCCGCTGTGTGTGCCCGCCGCATTCCAGGTGTGTCGCTCCGGCCCGGAGCCGCGGCCACGCCCGGCTCCGGCCTGGACAGAGAATTATTTTTCTGCAGGTTTTCTTTATTTTGGTTTTTTTTTGTTTGTTTTTTGTATGTTCTTTCTGGTGACTGATGTAAACTACTGGTTAATTTTATGGTTTTATTTATAAATAAATTTTTTAAAACTTCCTCAGCCTCTCCGGCTCCTCGCGGCGTTCTGGGGATTTTCCACGCCCAAGCCACCAGGATTTATCACAGCCCACCAGGGTCCCCTCTGGGGACATCCCTGCACCTGGCCCTGCGTTTTTCCAGCCTGGAGTTATCTCCGCTCTGCAGCTGGGATAACCCGAGCATGGAAAAGCAGGGATTGAGCTCCGCTGGATCAGGGAGAGTGGGATAATCCATCCGGCCCCCCAGCCTCACCCTCCTGATTTCACCCTGACCCCATCCCCACCATCCCTGAGCAGGCAGATCCCAGTCCTGAGGAGATCCAGGGAACACGATTCCCGAGGGAGACGTGAAGTGTGGCTGCTCTGACAAACCCGAGGTCAGATTTGGGCTATTTCAGCTGTTTTGCTCCAAACCAAACCAACTCCACAAAAAAAAAAACAAACCACAAACCAGCATGGGGCGAGGCAGAGGGGGAGGTTGGGGAGCAGAAAATGGGGAAAACTCCTCAATTTCAGGAAACTCTGCTCATTCTGCCCCATCTGGCTGCACCCACGGGGCAGGGGGTGGATCTGGGCACCCCAAAAAGGCACCTGGCACCTGCTGCTGCTTTCCAGGGAAATCTTGGCAGTGAGGGAAATTGATTTTTAGAGTTTATTTCTTTTTAGTTTATTTTGGAACTGCTGGGGAGGGAAGGGTCCCTCGTGACAGTCACCCCAGCCCTTCCCAGGAATCTGGGCCCAGGGAGCAGCAAGGAGAGCCCTGAGCTCCCAGGGAACATCCCTGACCCTCAGAGGTCACAGCAGCACCGGGAGGGCAGCTCCAGGAGGGAAAGCAGCATCCCCGAGGGCACCAACACCTCAGGGAATTCTTAGGAATGCTCAGAGAAGCCAAAACCTCATCTCTGGAGACTCCAAATCCCAGCCTTGAGGGCCCTGGGCTGCTTTTCCCAAAAAGCAGGAGATGGTCCCAGCCCTTCTCCACCAAACTCCTCCTGAAGCTGCAGCTGAGCTGTGCCAGCCTTGTCCTCTCCCTGGCACAAACCTGGCACGGGAAAGCACCGGGATGGAAATTGGGAGAGCACCGGGATGGAGCCTGGATGTTGGGAGAGCACCAGGATGGAAGTTGGATGCTGGGAGAACACCGGGATGGAAGCTGGATGCTGGAAAAGCACCAGGATTGAAGTTGGATGCTGGAAAAGCACCAGGATTGAAGTTGGATGCTGGAAAAGCACCAGGATGGAAGCTGGATGCCGGGAGAGCACCGGGATGGACGCTGGATGCTGGAGGAACACCAGGATGGAAGTTGGATGCTGGGAGAGCACCGGGATGGAAGCTGGATGCCGGGAGAGCACCAGG